GCAGTATCTTTGATGCTAAGAAACTGCCTCTAGGCCGCATTGCTGCTGCTTTTTGTATCAATGAGACCCCCAAAGAGGTGGCAGTGCGCATGCGCAGCAACCCCCAGCAGCAGCAGCAGCAGCAGCAGCAGCAGAAGCAGCAGCAGCAGCAGCGAAAAAAGAGGAAACGCTCCGATGAATTTGAAGTGGAGACACAACAAAGGACAACTGGCAGCAGCAGCAGCAAACGCAACCACCAGCAGCAGCAGCAGCAGCAGCAGCACGCGACCAAGGTAAAACGACATAGGCAACAGCAGCAGCAGCAGCAGATCGAGGTAGTGCCCAGTAGTATTAGCAGCAGCAGCAGCAGCAGCAGCAGCAGTGCAGCAACACGCGCTGTGAAGCTGCTGCAGGCACGTGGCGAGCTGCTGAAAAGCAGCAGCAGCAGCAGCAGCAGCAAGAAGAGCAGCATGAAGGGAGGAAGAAGACAAAATTAACTATAAAAAGAATCACAAAGCCGATTTATTTCAATGGAGCAGCAGCAACTGCTGCTGCTGCTGCTGCTGCTGCTGCAGCGAACTGTTGCTGCCGCTGCAGCAGCAGCAGGGGTTTGAATCCCAATCACCTTCCGATAGGGAGCAACAGCAGCTGGCTTTCTTGCTGCAGCAGCAGCTGCTGATGCTGCTGCAGCAGGTGCTGCAGCAAAGGCTGCAGCAGTTGCTGCCGCAGCAGCAAGGGAACGGAGACACTGCAATTTTTCATGAGTTAGGGTTTAGGGTTTAGGGTTTAGGGTTTTGTGGCTGCGCCAAGGTATAGAGGTTTTAAACGCATCCCAGTTGGGGGTAGAGCACTGCAGCAGCAACACAGCCTGCCGCTCGGACGCATCTTCTTGCTGCTGCTGCTGCTGGTTGTGCTGCTGCTGCTGCTGCTGCTGCTGCTGGTTGTGCTGCTGCTGCTGCTGCTGCTGTACAATGGCGAAGCAAACTTTTGCCTTCTCCATACCTGCGGGGAGGCCCATAGCCATCTCTTGCTGCTGCTGCTGCTGTTGCTGCTGCTGCTGGACTTGCTGCTGCTGCTGTTTCTGCTGGATTTGGTGCTGCTGCTGTTTCTGCTGGTGCAGCTGCTGCTGTTGCTGCAGCAAAGCAGCTACTTCTGCAAGGGGTGGGGCGTCACCTGAAGAGACGGGCAGCAGCAGAAAATCCTCAGCGACTTCGTCATCTTGCTGCTGCTGCTGCTGCTGCTGCTGCTGCTGGGTGGTTGCGATGCAGCCGCAGCAGCAGCAGACCCCATAGCACGTCTTTAGCAGCAGTCGCTTTGCTGCCAAAGCGCACAAGCAACTCTGCTGATGCTGCTGTTGCTGCTGATGCTGCTGCTGCTGCTGGTGCTGCTGCTGCTTGCATGCAGCTGCTGCAGCCCCGCGGGGTTGCAGCAGCAGCCCGTGGGGCTCAACCCACCGCGGCCACAAGGACCTAACAAAAGATAATACCTCAGCCTGATAGGGGGCCCCCCTCGGGGCCCCCAACAGACCAGCGGGGGCCCCCGAAGAGTCATAGGGTGCCCCCAAGGGGGCCCCTTGGGGGGCCCCCATAGGGGCCCATAGGCCTTGTGTATCTTCCTGCATGCGTTAGGTTTTAGTTTTATCTGCTTTGCTTTTGAAGCGAAGCAGAAGAACAGCGCTCCTGCTGCTGCTGCTGCTTCTACTGTGATTGCTGCTGCTGCTACTCGAGAGCCGCAGCAATAGCAACAACACTCTGCAGCTCGGCTGAGGGTTTAGTTGCAGCTTAATAATAGTTTAGGCTCTGCATCAATTAAAAGATTAAAATAATAAAACAATAAGGGGGGCCCCACAGGGGTACCCTCCATGCATAAAGAGGGGGGCCCTCCAGGGGGGCCCCACCATTAAGGGGGGCCCCCTAAGGGGGCCCCCTAAGGGGGCCCCCCAGGGGCCCCTTAATAGGGCCCCCAGGGGGCCCCCAGGGCCCCCTTAGGCGTTGCTGTTTGTTGTTTTATTCTTCTGTTTGAAGAAGATAGGGCTCTGATGTATATTTTAAATTGATGAGAGGAGAAGCAGCAACATGAGCAGCAAAATGCTGCTGCTGCGCCGACAATTGTCACTGCAGCAGCAGTTGCTGCAGCAACAGCTGCAGCAGCAGCAGATGCTGCTGCTGCTGATGCACTCGGGGAGGTGTGTGAGCAATGCAGCCTCTCCGGGCCAATCTAACGTCACCAAGCAACAGCAACAGCAGCAGCAGCAGCAGCAGCAGCAGCATAGGGAGAGAGAACAGCGTCCTCCGCAGTGCCCTCAAGAGCAACGCCAGCAGCAGCAGCAGCAGCAGCAGCAGTCTCTGCAGCAGAAGCTGCAGCAGACTGTGCAGAGTGTGGTCTTTTCAGCTGCTGTGAGGATCCGCAACCTCATGCGCAGCAGCAGCAGCAGCAGCAGCAGCAGCAGCAGCAGCAGCTTTGGTGGCTGGTGCAACTCGGGCCTCATTGAGTGCGCTGCTTCTGGTGCTGCAGCGGAGCAGCTGCTGAAGCAGCAGCAGCAGCCGCAGCAGCAACAGCCGAGCGCCTTGCTGCAGCAGGCTGTCCCCCGGGTTTTGCTGCTGCATCCGCAGCACGAGCCGAGCTCCAACCCACCACAGCTGCTGCCTCATAACTACCTGCAGCAGCAGCTGCTGCAACAGCAGCTGCAACAGCAGCAGCAGCAGCAGGGGATATGGGGTGCAGCTGGAGACAGAAAAACCCAACGGCGGCAGCAGCAGAAGCAGCAGCAGCAGCAGCAGAAGATGCTGTCGCGCGCAAAGCCAAGCGTACCTCATGCTGCTGCTGCTGCTGCTGCTGATGCTGCTGCTGATGCTGCAGCAGCTTCAGCATGCATACCTTCTCCTTTTGATATAGAGATGCCTTGGGGCCTGGGGCCCAGCGAGCGACTGTATGCCTACCTCTGCAGTGTCTGCCCCCCAGCAGCAGCAGCAGCAGCAGCAGGAACGCTTTCAAGAGCTGCACTAGCAGCAGTGGAAGCAACAGCAGCGGCAGCTGCTGCTGCTCCTCTCGGGTGTCTGGTGAGGGGCCGCCGCGTGCTTGATTGTGGCTGCTTCGAAGGTGCTGGGGTAGAGATGCTGCTGCAGCAGCTGCATGCAGCAGCAGCAATAGGGGTAGATGCCAGCAGCGCAGCAGCAGCAGCAGCGCGCAGCCGGTGCCAGCAGCATGTTGCTGCAGGGCGTGCAGCGCTGCTGCAGGGGGACCTGTGCAGCAGCAGCGTGCTGCCGCTGCTGCAGCAGCAGCTGCGTCAGATGCAGCAGCAGCAGCAGCAGCAGCATGGGGTGGCGGCAAGAGTCTCAGGTCCAACAACAGCAGGAGCTAAACACGAAGGAGCAGCAGCAGCAGCAGGTGCTGCTGCTGCTGCTGCTGCTTCTGCTGCTGGAGATTTGTTTGATGTTGCGGTGTCTGTTGAGGTGCTGCCTTCTTCTTTATCGCGCAGCTCTTTTTTTGCTGTTGTTGCGGAGCTGCTGCGGCCCGGTGGTTTGCTGCTGCTGCTAGACAGACTGGAGGAGCTTACGGGAGCAGCATATCCTGCTGTTGATCTGCAGCAGCTGCAGCAGCTGCTGCAGCTGCAGCAGCAGCAGCAGCAGAAACAGCCACGCGGTCACCATGGAGTAGAGCAGCACCTGCAGCAGCAGCTGCTGCTGCTGCGCTCGCAACAGCAGCAACATGCACACCGTCTGCTGCAGCAGCTGAAGGGGACAGGCCTTAGGGTGCTGCTGCTGCAGGACCTTCGGGTGTATGTGGGGGGGACGCAGCAGCAGCTGCTGCAGCAGCACGGCAGCAGCCCTCTGATGCTGCTGCAGCGCCCTGCTTTGAAAGCAGCGCAGCAAAAAATAAGAAGTTACCCCTACCTCCATCTTGTTGCTGTTAAAGAGCACTAGTTGCTGCAGCAGCAGCAGCAGCAGCAGCAGCAGCAGTTGCAGCAGCAGCAGCAGCAGCAGCAACAGCTGCTGCAGTGCTGCCCAGGCAACTACCGATGCTAGTGTCTGCTCAGCTGTATAGACAGCTACGAGGAGGTGAAGATGCAGCACAGTTTGCTGCATGCAGCTGCAGCAGCAGCTGCTGCTGCTGACTGGGGAAGGAGACGTGATGAATGTTTTTTGAGTGTCTTTGTATTTGCTGCTGCTGCTGCTGCTGCTGTTTTCCGTGGTGTAGTGCTGCTGTTGTGCTGCTGCTGCGCCCGCTGCTGCTGCTGCACTTGCTGCTGCTGCTGTTGCTGCTTCTGCTGCTGTTGCTGCTGTTGCTGCTGCTGGTTTTCCTTACTGTAAAGATTGCAGAAGAGGTAGGGCGGGGACGCCGGAGGGCCGTTGGTGTTGCTGCTGCTGCTGCGACGTTCTGGGTCTCTGCTGCTGCAGCTTTTGCTGCTGCTGCTGCTGCTGTTGCTGCTGCTGCAGTCGTTGCTGCAGGTGCTTCTTGACGTCTGTACAGCAGAGTTGGAGCATAGCCCCGCCTTTGTAGGAATTGCGCGAGGAGCTCAGCTTTTAGGGTTTAGGGTTTAGAGACTAGGGTTTAGGGATCATGACTAAGGGTTCAGGGTTTAGGGTTTAGGGTTTAGGGTTTAGGGCCTATGGAATAGGGTCTAGGGTTTAGGCTTTAGGAACTAGGCTTTAGTAGGGTCTAGGGCTTAGGGTTTAGAGACTAGGGTTTAGGGTTTAGGGTTTAGGGTTTAGGGTTTAGGGTTTAGGGTTTGTACCCTGTGGGGGAGGCCCTCCGAGCAGCGGCACTGCGCGAGACGCCTCTACGCAGCAATTTGGGTCTCTGGTGGTGCGGTTGCTGCTGCAGCTTCTGTTGCTGCTGCTGCACCTGCTGTTGCTGCTGAGGGTGCTGCTGCTGCACTTGCTGCTGCAGCGGCGGCTCCTCGCCCACCGGCTAGGCACGTACGTGCTGGATGCAGCAGCAGCAGCAGCAGCAGGTGCAGCTGCTGCTGCTTCTTGCTGCTTCCCATAGTTTCCTGAGGGGGGACACACAAGAATTGCATGCGTTTGCTGCTGCAGTTTGTGCTGCTGCTGCTGCCAGCTGCTGCCCCCAAACTGTACGCGTGCAGCAGCAACCGCAACAGCAATAGCAGCAGCTGCTGCAGCAACAGGAGCACCTGTAGCAGCTGCAGCACCTGCAACAACTGCAGCAGCGCCATTAGCAGGAGTAGCAGCGGCAGCGGCACGAGCAACAGCAGCAACAGCGGCAGCAGCAACAGCAGCAGCAGCAGCAACAGCAGCAGCAGCAGGCTTTACTGACTCGCCAGCAGCTCCTTGACGGGTGCGGCAATGGCTTCAATTCGCTGCCCCAAGGAACCAACCACATGCGTGCTGCTGCTGCTGCTGCTGCTGCTGCTGCAGCTGCTGCTGCTGCTGCTGCTGCTGCTGCTGCTGCTTCGCCAGGCTTTTCCCACCGAGTGTGAGAAGCCTTTGCCCGTCAGTTGCTGCCTTTGCCGCAGCTGCTGCTGCAGCAGCTGCTGCTGCCGCTGCTGCTGCTGCTTCCCGCAACCACGCAGGAAAGGGGCCCCTAAGGCGTATGGGGGCCTCCCTTCTGCTGCTGCTTCAGTAGCACTGTTTGCTGTTGAGCTGCTGCTGCTGCTGCTGCAGAGGCGGTAGTAAGGCCCTGCTGCAGCAAAAAGTGTCTCTTGGTACGGGTTCCTGCTGCTGCTGTTGCTGCTGCTGCTGTTGCTGCTGCAGCAGTAGCACCGCAGCTGCTGGCCCTGATAACCTCCGTATGAGCAGCTCAAAGCTCCGAGGCCCCCATCTGCTTCAAAGGTAAGCTGCTGCTGCTGCTGCTGCTGCTGCTGTGGCTCGCTGCACGTGCATGCACAAATAGGGACAGGAGCCTCATCAGGAAAGGAGACACACTCAGGGCCCTGGGGGCCCTGGAGACAGTAGCAGCAACGCATGTAGCGGCTGCTGCTGCTGTAGTAGCAGCAGCTGCTGCTGCCCAAGGAGCTGCTGCTGCTGCAGGAGCTGCTGCAGCAGCGACAGCAAGGGACACCCGCTGCGCTGATCCCTTCACCTATTGATGCAGCCGCCCTGCAGCAGCACGAAGCAGCAGCTGCAGCAAAGGGGAGGCTATGCTCCCAGAAACAGCAGCAAGCCTTTGGTGCTGCTGCTGCAGAGTTCTTCAGCAAGCACCCACACTCACCTATACCTCCTGCTGCTGCTGCAGCAGCAGCAACAGAAGCAGCAGCAGCTGCTGCTGCTTCTTTATTTGCTTCCCCTTCAACTGAAAAATCCTTGTCTATGACAGGGGGCCCCTTTGGGGGCCCCTCAGTAGTCTGAAGGGGCCCCTCTTCAGGGCCCCCAATGGGGGCCTCCAGAGGGGCCCCAGGGGCCCCCTGGGGCCTCCCTGCTGCTCCGTGGGGCCCCCCAGGGGCCCCCTGGGAGCCCCCAGGGGGTCCCTGGGGCCCTTCTGAGGCTCCGTAGGGGCCCCCAGGGGCCCCTGCGCCGTGGGGCCCCCCTGGGGCCTTTGGGGGCCCCTCTGAGGCTCCGTAGGGGCCCCTAAAGGCCTCTTGGGGCCCCCCAGGGCCCCCCCCGGGGCCCCCATGTGCAGTGTCTCCTTTTAAGGAGACAGGAAGGGCCCCCTCAGCAGCTGGGTTTTGATGATATATACATGAGTCTGCTGCACAACGAACCCCTTGCTGCTGCTGCAGCTGCTGCTGAGGTGGCTGCTGCTGTTCGTGTATATTCTCAAGGTGCTGCAGCAAGTGCTGCAGCTGCTGCCGTTCTGCTGCTGTGCAGCTGCAGGCTGAAACCATGCGACGAAGCTGCGCCACGACCTCGCTTGAGTTTGTTTCTCGCTCTTGCTGCTGCTGCTGTTGCTGCTGCTGCTGCTGTTGCTGCTGCTGCTGTTGCTGCTGCTGCTGTTGCTGTTGCTGTTGCTGCTGCTGCTGCTGCTGCTTCATAGGAGCGTTGAGGGCACCTCTGGGGTCATCGGGCTGCAGTGGAGGTGCTGCTGTCTCTTCAATCTCTTCTGTCTCTTCTGTCTCCTGCTCCAAGGCTGAGGGCCTCACAGCTGCTGCCTTGTTGTTGTTGCTGCTGCTGCTGCTGCTGCTGCTGGTGTCTCCTTCTAAGCTGCACTCGGGCGGGTACAAGGGGGCGTCAATCGCAGCAGCGGCAGCAGCAGCAGCAGATCCTGATTCGGCTGCGGATGCTGCAGAGAAATCTGTTAGGTTTTCGCTGCTGCTGACAGAACCCCCGGGGTGTTTTTGCTGCTGCTGCTGAGGTTGCTGCTGCTGCTGCTGCTGCTGCAGAAGAGATTTCCCTCCTTTGCTGCTGCAGCTGTCTTTAGTTGAGCCATCCACCCTTTTAAAAGGGACACTGCGGCAAGCAGCAACGCAAGGATCTTGCAGCAGCAGCAGCCGCTGCTGCTGCCGCTGTTGCTGCTGCTGCTGATCGCGCTGCTGCTGTTGCTGCTGAACGTGCTGCTGCTGCTGTTGCTGCTGCGGGTGCCGCTGCTGCTGGTGTTGCTGATAGCCGCCAGACTGTTTGTGATGCTGCTGCTGGAGCTTTCTAGCTGCTGTTGCTGCTGCCGTTGCTTGCCCTTTATGCGTCGCAGCAGCAGCAGCAGCAGCAGCAGCAGCAGCACGGCGTTCAGCTTCTGCCTTCAGCAGGGCTTTTCTCTCTGCCCTTAATTTTTCTTGTCTGTCTCTGACGCGCAGCAGTTCCTTCTGCAGTTTCTTGCGTTTCTTGGCAGCAGCAGCAGCAGCAGCAGCAGCTGCTGCTGCTGCTGCTGTTGTTACTGTTGTGTGGGGTGGTGCGAAGACAGCAGAAGTGCCGCCCATTCGGGTGTCTCTCCATCCAAAGGGGAACTGCTGCAGAGAGGCGCTGCGCTGCAGCGGCTGTGCTGCTGCTGCTGCTGCTGCTGCAGCAGCAAGTCCAAACGCATTTGGGTGTCTGCTGTCTGTACGGGTTCTCCGCAATCCATTGCTTGCTGCAGCTGCTGCTGCTGCTGCTGCTGCTGCTGCTGTAAGTTTTCTTCCTTTGCTATCTAATAGTGCCCCTGAAGAAGAGGCCCTCATTAAAGCCTTTAGATGCTGCTTTTTATTCTGATGCTGCTGCTGCTGCTGCTGCGGTGGCCTGCTGCAGCTGCTGCAATTGCTGCAGCTGCTGCAGCTGCTACAGCAGCAGCTCTGGCCGCAGCAGCCAGAAGCAGTTCTCAGCAGAACTCTTTCAGAGCAGCAGCGCCAGCGGTTTGTTGTTGCTGCTGCTGCAGGAGCAGCAGCTGCAGCAGCCGTGTGGCTGCTCCCCAGCCCCGTTGGACTCCATCTGCTGCTGCCGCTGCTGCTGCTGCTGCTGCTGCTTGCATAGTATTCAGCAGCAGGGTGAAGCCTTTGGGTGTCTGCGAGGTGAGCAGTTTTATAATAAGTGAAGCGGTTTGAGGGATTAGTAAAGAGATTTTCTGCTGCTGCTGCAGTAGAAGCAGCAGCAGCAGGGAAGAAACTGCTGCTGCTGCTGCAGCAGCTGCTGCTGCTGCAGCAGCTGCTGCTGCTGAACAGCTTATCTCTTCGCTCTCCCTCCCATCTAGAGAATGCCCGCGTGCTGGTTTGGGGCTTCAATGGCCTGAGGAGGGGGTTCTTATGGCTTGCTGCTGCTGCTGCTGCTGCTGCTGCTTCTGCTGCTGCAGTGGATCTACTGGCGTTGGGGTGTCTAGACGAGCTGAGGGAGACCCCCGGCACTGCAGCAAAATGCCTGAGCCTTCGCCTTTCGTTGGTATTCGCAGCAACAGCAGCAGCAGCAGCAGCAGGAGGAGGAAGAGGAGCAGCAGCAGCAGCAGCAGGAGCAGCAGGAACAGCAGCGGGCTGAGGCCCTTGAAGGGGACCTCTTTGTTTATGCATGAGGGTTTCTTGCTGCTGTGTGTTTGTTTAGCTTTGTTTAACTGTGTTTCTTTAATGATGTTTGTTTAGGGCTTGTTGCTGCTGATGACAGCAGCAGCAGCTGCTGCTGCTGCTGTTGCTGCAGCAGCAGCAGCAGCAGTATTTCTACTGCTCAGAATCAACGGGAACTGTATCTGAGGCAATGGGATCCTCTCTTAAGTCTTCGCTGAGGGTTTATCCATTAGGGTTTAGTGACTAGGGTTTAGGGTTTAGGGTTTAGGGTTTAGGGTTTTCTCGCTGGCCTTCTCGGCGTTCTTGCTGGAGACTGCGAGTATAGACAACTGTTTGTTTTTGTCTTTTTAATTATATTTATTTTTTATTTAGAAGAAAGATATAAAACAACGAGAAGATAAACAACTGCAGATGCAGACAGCAGCAATAAAGGGGCTTCTTATTCTTTGAGGTCACTACCAGTATTGTTAGGGGTTTACTGTATTTTTTAATTTGTTTTTCTTGAAATAACTAAATAAATAATCTATTAAATTAAAATATTTATATTTAATTTTATTTATTATGCTGAGACAAACACATTGATGACAGATCCATACCCTACAGCAACACAGAAGTATGCATCTGCTGCTGTATAGCTGTTGCTCCTCTTTGCGGTATATATAAGAAAAAAATAAATTATTTCGTTTATTAATATTAAATTAATTAAATTTATTCAAAAAATTAATTAATTTCAATGTTTATATTATTATTTATGTTTATTTTATTGCCGCGATCGCCCACTGAGCTGCCTATACACCGCAAACAACGCGTAGAGTCTTCCCTCTATTTGACATTCATTTTAATGTTTTTAAACAACTCTTAATAATATTTTTAAATAAATATATAAATAATAGATTATTTATACTGTGCAGATTTACTGCCGCCAGAGCCTATTACAATAGAGAGAGCTCTGCATATACAGCACACCCTATGTATTGCTGCTATTAACAAATTATCTGATCTCTCTCTCTCTCTCTCTCTCTCTTGAAAATTAATATGTTTATACCTAAAAATATTTTATCTTCTTCTTTGTATTTCTGTTTGTTTCAGGTAAGAAGAGACAGCACACCATCATCAGCATAGAGAGACAATACCTAGTAGACAATAAACTTACTATTATTACTATTAATATATTTTTATTAGTTATTATTACTAAATTACATATAAATATAATTATATCTATATATCTATATATATATATATCTATATATATATCTATATCTATATCTATATCTATATCTATATCTATATCTATATCTATATCTATATCTATACCTATATCTATTATCTATATCTACATTTATATCTATATAAGTATGTATGTAGCATAGTAGCTAATAAATATATCTTCTATTATATCTACCTAATAATATAAGCTGCTGCCTTAGTATGAAGGCGTCTGTCTATACACCCCACAGGTGCACGTGTACTCCAGCCTCTTTATATTTTTTAAATAAACGAAGGACATCATTGGCGGGAATAAATAGCAATAAATAAAGAATCCACAGCAGAGACAGGAGACAGCAGCACAATTTTTGCTGCTGCAGAGCCTGCTGAGAGTTTGCTGGGGCTAATAAGATAATAATCGAACAAAGTATAGACACAGGTAAACACACCTTCATACATATTTATAAATATAATATATATATATATTTTATTTCGAATAAATACTAGCAGAACTCCTGCATGCCGACAGTGCGGTGGCAGTGGCCTCCACCGTCCCCTTCCCAGGTGTACAGGCAGCTGAGGTGTACAGGCAGCTGAGGTGTACATGCAGCTGGGGTGTACAGGCAGCTTAGACAGCTGAGGTGTGTACAGACAGACAGCTGAGGTGTACAGACAGCTGGGGTGTACAGACAGACAGCTGAGGTGTACATGCAGCTGAGGTGTACAGACAGACAGATGAGTGCATGAGGTGTACATACAGCTGGGGTGTACATACAGCTGGGGTGTACAGGCAGGTGGTTAGCAGCAACATGTTGTGTTGCTGTTGTTTGCAGAAATAAATGCGTATATTCTGTGGGTAGTATGTGGCGTAGAGGAGTCCTTTTAAAGGTGTTTCTTGGGGTGTATAGGCAGCTTTTTAATTCTTTTTTCTCTAGTGTCTCGGCAGATACTTCGCCAGAGACGGCTGCGCTCTTAGCACCGCCTCTTCTACATCTCTTAACTTGGGGCCCTCAGCGATTGCTTCATTACTCATTCCGAAGAGAGGATATTCTAGATAAAGTTCTCTTAGCGTAGGCCTCAAGGTAACCGTCGGCGTTAGCAGCAAACGAATCAACCCCTGCAGCAAACCAGCAGCAGCAGCAGCAGCAGTAGTAGTAGTAGTAGTTGTTGTTGTTGTTGTCGGAGAAAGGCAGCAGCAAAAGAAAAGCAAAGAAGCAGCAAAAAACCAGCAAAACAAAAAAATAGCTGCCTGTACACCTCATTATCCGTGGCACGCAGACAGGAAAAATTTATGAAAAGAAGGGTTTAGGGTTTAGGGTTTAGAAGCGGGTTTAGGGTTTAAAAAGGGGTATACAAGTGTTACGGTTTAGAAAGGAGAGGAGTTTAGAGTTTATACAAGGCTGTCCAAGTGATTACAGAAGGGTTTAGGGTTTAGAAAAGGGTTTAGGGTTTAGAAGAGGGTCGAGGGTTTAGGGTTTAGAAGAGGGTCGAGGGTTTAGGGT